CATCTCTTCCCCCTCCCCCAACGCAGGAACCTCTATACGCCGACCTGGCCATGCGGGCGACGCGTAAACGATTAATTGTAATCAGACCACCCTTATAAACCCTGCCCAACTGTACAGTTTTCATTACCCCTGCAAATGTTTTGGCCGGACGAAGATTTGCTGAAAACATATGTCTGCTAACCTAACTTCTCATGGGAATATTTGCAGAACTCTATATTTTTGTGTATTTTATTAACTTATCCCTAGATCCCAGAGAATGAAGTCATATTTTGTCGAAAACTGTGAATGTTACCTCCATAAATAAAGCATACTTTTTACTAAATTCCTCCTCTCTCTCCTATATTCCTAATAAGGTCCCTCTGCAACCCAGCTTCGAGATATTACGGACTGAAGACACTTAAAGGACTTTCAAACACTTTTGCTTTGTGTATTTTTGTTTCAATTAACCTCTCTGCTGTGAGCAAAACTAAAATTTTGAAAATGGTCCAGACCTATGACATTAAAAATAGGATAGGGCAAAAGGTATCTGTTAACTTGTAAAGGTTGAAACAAGCACATGGTAGATCAGGGAGTCACAGACGTCACGGAGGGGGGTTGTTGGTTGAACTTCTCTGACTCCGGACTGATGATCGCTATGCCCCTTCCTCATTATCCAATTTATCCGAGTCAGTTTGCGGAGGCGGTATTTTACCGTTGATAACGGCCTGTTCATGCAGGACATAGAACACGAAGGCAGCAACTGACGATATACTGCCTAAACCCAGAGACAACGGCAACAATATTGGTGTTCCCGGGGGAATAAAGCTGCAATAAAGCGTGAATACGCAGCCGAAGTAGCAAGAAAGAAAGCCGAGAAATAGGCTGTGGTATAACGCTGCTGAAATGTTCATGTCTCGTCCCAAGAGCCTGCGTGCCCAAAGTTCAAGCGGCAAAAATATTGATTTTTGGAGGCCAACCGGAAACTGGTCAGTGATTGGTGGAGAGCTAATCTTCGCAGCATTTTACCGAGATATGGAGCTACTGGTGCCTTAAAATTATTCACGCCTTCATTCAGCGAGCAACTAAAATAAAAAAACAGCCCCCACCCCCCCCACTCATACATAGTAGCAGAGGGGTCCCAGAGTTGGCAGAATGCAAATTAGGGCAGCCATTTTATGCGAGATTATCCTTGTGTGAACAGTGACGCAAACGGTCGAAATCTTCAGGTTTTCGAATAGAAGGTTCTGTAGGTCAGAGCTTTTCGTTGTGGAAATCTGAGACGCCAAAAGGAACAAAAGACAGTGTCGGAGCTCCAGACGCCTATCAGTACTTCTTATTTGGTCTAGCACCGCAGGGATTCGAAATTTTTCTATCTCATGAAATGTCAACCACAATTCTGAAATGTGCGTTCAGTTGGAATATATAAATTAAGTATTGTCGCAGTATTGATTATCATACAACTTAATCTCAGTTTATTTCATTCAAGCAGGATGCTGACTTTTGAAAGAACTTCTTTTTCTGACCGCTTGCAAAAAGTCTATTCTGTAGAAAATGACTCCTATAATTAATTATGTATTACCAGTTTACAGGCAATTTTACAACTTGGGTTAATTGGTAAAGCACCTATTGGGCGCCTATCAAAACCTCGAAGGCAGGAAAAAAACTGTCCACGTCTTGCCAGTTTTTCGATCGGGATGTAAATTAGTACATAGGTGTACTCCGATCTGGTCCAGGATTCACCAACCCTGGCTTGTTTCGTCTGGCGAGCTGTATCCATATACCCGGAATGACGTAATCAAGGACTCGATGGCCGAACGAAAGCTGCAGCCAGTATTTCGATACCTACCGCACAGACTGAAGCAGGGTATAGTCACCAGGTTGCATCACACAACTTTACAAATCTCGATAAGGGAAAAAATGGCACGTGCGGGCGTGGCCATGGCATACATTTTAGAAATCGGGCAAACTCCCGCCCTGAATGCACTTAGTGAGATAATC